ATTAATTGGTCTGTGTCAACATCTTTATTCGATGTGGGATTATATCCCTGAACACTTCTCTGCTTTTTTTTGTACCTGGAAAAGATTGAGTTAAGCAGATAACTGCATGATCTCTGTTCCATTAACTTAATGATTTCGTAGGTTTGTGCATGTGAGCTCTGCCGGTGTCACTAGACCTGAAAGGCCAGGACTTGATTTAAGCAAACAGCCTCCTGCTGTCCGGTTGAACAAAGAATTGGGCTTCATTCTCACATTCAAGTTGAAGGTTTATGCCATATCTTAGCATGCAGAATATTATCATTTAATTCAAGCACGGGCAGTTTATTTAACTTCTTGCATAGTTGAACCTATTCTTCCAGGCATCCTAAAGCATAATAGGATGCCAGCCGAAAATGTAACTTCGATTATTTTGCAGCTAAAATATGATAACGATCTTCCATCTGCAGAAATTACATCTTTCTGGCAACTCTTGTGCCAGTCAGTTCATGGTTTATTCATTTGCTGAAGATATTTAGAGATTCTTGTATAATTTGTGTTCTCATCCTAGATAATCATTTGGTAGGGGGAGGATGTGCTACGTGAAAGTGGAGTCCCATATACAATCATCAGGCCTTGTGCATTAACCGAGGAGCCTGCTGGGGCCGAACTCATCTTTGATCAAGGAGACAATATAACTGTATTAGCATTTACTCTAGCATATGTTGCATAGCTAGAAGATGCATAATTTAAATTTTGTATTTTTGCATGTTCAGGGGAAGATATCCAGGGAAGAGGTTGCTCGTATATGCATTGCTGCTCTTGAAAGCCCGTATGCATGTTACAAGACATTTGAGGTTGGTTTACGTGGTAACAATACTTATGTGCAAATCATTTGATTTTCTACTGCTTGGATGTTGTGATATGCTTTTTTCTATTTCCACAGGTTAAAAGTGTAATCCCGTTCAGTGAGCCATACACAGTGGATCCTGAAAACCCTCCTCCAGAAAAGGACTATAACGTTTACTTCCAGACTCTGAAGGATGGCATTACAGGGAAAGAAAGCTTAGAACAAACCCCTGTTCCCATCTAAAACAACAAAGCACGGTGAGTTGATTTTCAGCATTATACTATGTTATAATCATGACCCTATCCTTTCATCAATAGGCGGTTTATAAATAGATTCTATCTCGAGGAGAATTTTTTAACCTTTATTAATATTTATTCTCTCGCATTGCATTGACAGATTTCATTGGATACAAAATTCCCAGCTTGTAGTTACTTGATAAAATATTTCAGTATGTAGATTCTCCTGTGTGTACCTAGAAAGAAAAGATACAGACTGATGAAGAGAACTAGAATAAGGGTAAATCAGTTTATTTTGTGTTGGCATGGGAAATACATTGACTTGCACACTTCCTTTCTGTTATTCGAAAGTGTGGATGTTTTGACTATGTTAATAAGAATGTAATTACTCGTATACAGGAAATAATGTGTCAAATTTTTTTTTTGTCCATTTGATGTCTTGTTTAGTTTCTTTTAGTACTGTATATTAAACATATTCGATGTTTCGATGGGTACACAAACTCGTATATATGACTATATCATTGGAGCATATGAAGCATAAGATCGAGATATGCCGTTTCGAGCTTCCGCATAAAATTACCTTTTCTTGTCCACTTTATTGGGTTTGGTGTCTCAATACATTGAAACAAATATACATATATGCGAGCATGTCAAAAGAAAATGCTCCCTGATATCCCAATTCACCACCGAGTTTTCTTGAATAATCGTTTCCGAGTATATGCCTCTGATTGATTAACAGCATATTGGGAACAACTTAAAATTTGAAGCCAGTCTTAGATTTTAGGTTCTCTCTATTTCGAGGTCTTACTTTCTTTATACAATATTAATATGATTTAAACCATACTGGGAGCTGGAGTGCACTGCATGCATGTGAATGTGATGTGCATTTCAAGTGGAACCTTCTACAGCATGGTTCATAGTTACGTGCTCTAATTCTTTGAATCATACTCATCAGGTCTCAACTAGATTTGTTTCAACCTTCTAAACTGGTAAAGCTTTTTACCTTGCACTTTCTTTGGTTGGAGATCGACTCTAATGCAATTAGGAATGACAATGAAACAAGTCAAGAATTAAAATATTCTCATTTTTCGATCCAACTTTTATTTGGCTTCTATTGTATCCAACAATTAAACAAGCAAAACACAGTAAATTTGCATTTTCGTTAAAAATGTTGTTTATATTCTTGGCCTCGTGACTTAAGAAAACACAAAAAAGGCTTCGGTTAAATGGCCCCACGCAATTCTAGAGCAACTCTCTTGTTTTGTCTCGAAAGTGTATCATGTGCGCGTTAACAGTGATTTTACCTTATAACCAATCATCATTTTTGTCCATTTTATCTAACTATTAATGACGCCCGTGCATGCTCTACCAAAATAAATTAAAATAAAAATATATCATTTAATTATTTCTTATTACATCTGTAATTTAAAATTACTAATCTCCGGGTAAATGACCATATCATTATTTAGCCCCTATTTAATATAAGTCAAATTCAAGAATTAATTTTAACTACATATTTTATATGACACAACTTTTCAATCACATTTCATCAACTTTTATCAAAATCTATAAAAATATGATTTTAATCCCACCAAACAAGAGCTTATGTTGTCATGTCATATGAAAAGTGAAGAGCAAGGAATTTCTCCAGCACAAATTAATAATCCATAACTTCTAAAGCATTTCTTATATTACTTCTACGGTCTATTCAAGGTTGTCTATGCAAAAACATCGATTTCTTCCTCGTCCAATTTAGCCACTGTTTGATTTGAATTAAAATTTCAAGTCAAAGTAAACAATTAATTTTAACCAAACATTTTATAGCAACTTTTCAACCACATATATTTCATGAACTTTCACAAAATTTAATAAATATCCAATTTTAGTCTACACCAAATAGGGTGTATTGAGCATTACCCTCTAAGAATTTCTCATCTCACCCAGTTCAGATATTGTCCTGTGTTGTGTAAATCACACGAATGATGATCCAAGTTGCAATTTGTTTCATGAAACTGTAGTTTTTATTTGGAAAAACCAGGGCACACAAATCTCAGTTGGACGGCCATCAAAAGAGAGAGCACTAGCTGTTGAACTCAAAATCAATGAAGCAGGGATTCAGGCATCTGTCCCTTAACTACTAATGGCATGTTCAATAGGTAAGATTGGATAATACAAGATAGTGCCAAAGAAGAAAAGAAGCTAAAACTTTGTTCACTATACCATCTACGTCCCACAAATACTACATACGTTTGGAACAAAGAATCCTAGTTGCTAATGGAGTTGATTTTCCAGGACTATATTATGCTGGACTATTTATTTACTAGTCAACGACGACACAATGGTGAAAATACGAAGGGAAATCTCTCAACAAATCAACAATATCGTCAACTACAATACAGTAATTGAGCTTCACTTTCCATTCAACCATCTTCTGACTCTGCAATACAACACATTGGAATAAATTCAAATTTAGTTCCCTGCCGGAACACTGTGTTGTAATTGTGTGTGAATATAATTTAGTTCAAGATAGTTGGAAACTGTGTCTGCCTTTTCACAAACTAAAAGCTATCAGCAAAGAGGGAAATAAGTAGTAAAATACAATTAATTCTCTGGGGAAAAAAAATCATAACTAGAGCACAAACATACCGTGTATTGTTTCCATGTTGTCTTCTTTATAAACACCAAGTGGCGAGCCATGCACAGAAAGAAGCATCTCACCGGGCTTAGGAAGCCTTAGAGTTTTGGGTGTCATCCCAATTGACAACCTCTGATTATTCATCTGCAATTACAAATTAACTTGTTTACGTAATATCAGAAAACAAACAAGATGAAGTCAAGGGAACCTGACATAATATTTGAGGAAAGATAGGATATTTTACAAGTTCATGCAGAACTTTTTCCTTGAATTAATACACGTATAACAATGAAAATCTAGAGATAAGGTCAGTAACATATCCTGAGAGATTACCACTGGGCATCTAAGTACTACCATTATACCCTGAATATCAGTAAAAAATTTAACAAGTGTGATGTTCATATCGTCAATATGCCTATTTCCACAAATATTGCATGCTTGAGGGACAGATTCTCCAGGATCAATACAAATTTGGATATCCGACCACCTGTCTAACTAGCAAATGAAACGTGAAAATAAAAGATACCAAAGCATAACTGCATAAATCTTAAAGAATTTTCTCAAAGTTACATACATTGGGAGTTTTTAGACTGTCCTGCAATTCTAACACTTGAGTATCAGATGGCTCTTCCAAGACCTGAAAAAGAAAATTTTGAAAGAACGAGAAATGAAGAACAGAAGAAGGGTAGGTAACCAAAAAGCATGCCTTGAGCTTTATACGGGAAGCAATATAAATAGCAAAACAAAAAAGAGTTTTTATTGGCCACCACTGAAATGATTTGTTAACCATAAGTTCCGTAGTACAAGTTGCGTAAGAACATACAAGATTCCTTATCTGCAGATTATCAGCATCAAAAAGGCTTGTTTTCACTGCCAGGAATGGATAAATTGTATCAGATAAAAAGGAAACAATGGATTGGATTTGGATATTACAAGCATGAACAAAGATTTATCAATACCAGATTTATTTGAAAACTCAAAGCCACCAAAAGATGGCACAGCAGCAGAGCAATCAGGATAAACCATTGACAGCTGATGTAGTAGAGAAGTATGTATAGCTCTTTCATCAGCATTATTCATAGATAAGTTGTAATCTTTGTCTTTCCATTGCACCTCATACTGTCCATCTTTCCCATCCTTTGCAATAGATAGATTTGGAAGGTTTTCCTTGAAAAACTGCAGTACAGGAACTTGCAACTGTTCCTTGCTGAAATAGGAACGGAGAAGCCGCAACATAGTACGTAATTGTTCAATCTCCACATCGCGAAGGGCCCTGATTGCAGCACTTTGACGTTCAACTGAAAGGAGAATAAAGATGGAAATCAAGTAATAGTTAAGAAACCGCACATCCCGAGCAAAAGTATCAGGTGATTATGAAGATAAGCAAAAATACTTGAGTCTTCAAAGATCAATAAAGGAAGCTTAAGAGTGTAAAGTTTTTCAGTTACGGAGTATTGATTTGTGAAAGTCGGGATTTAACTGGTCAAGCGTAAATCCAGTCATCCAAAATGAACATGAAAGATGACAAATCAGGAGTATTAATATATCTCTAGGGAAGTTAGTAAAGGGTTAAAGTATTAATTATATAACACATCACTTTAGAGTCATAAGTTTCATGGAACTTGGTAATACCTCATATCTAAGTAGTATATACAATGGACATGACTACAAAACTTTGGTTTAAACCTCTCCGCACTCCAGAGTTTTAAATTATAAATTAATCTATGATGCTACAGAGAAAGATTGCACAATGCATTACTCAGACATGGATTGGTAAAATGTTATCGTCTTAAATATATTCAATATTTCTACAAGAAAAATGCTCATTTAAGTCTCTGTCTATTGTAGAGTACTAAAAATAATAAGCTATAGAAGCATCTCAGCTTAATTCATATAAACATCATGAGCAACATTGTTAGGACATCAAGACAAATTTACATGACCCGCTGCACTGGAAGACAATGTTTTGGAAAGGAACTTTCTATGATTGTTTCATACTAGAAGCATAGATGCCTAGGTGGACTAGCCAGAAAGAGATCACAGTGTACCATAACACCTAAGTTCTTAAATGCAATTAACCATACTTTACATACACAAGGTGGCACACCATGTTGTAGCCACGGCTTGCTGAGATAATGACACAAAGCCAGAAATCAAAATTATGAAAAAAATTAAAATCAGAAGCCCGTCAGTATGGCCGTAGCTTGTTAATTCTAATATAAATGTTAATCTAATCTGTTCCTAGCCTTTACTTTTCCATTTTGAATATTACATAAATCTACAGACAGAAATAAATAAATAAATGGAATGCAAGCAATACCTTCATGGTCTTGAAATGCATCTTCTTTCTTTTCTAATGGGACCTCGTCTTGATCACCGTTGTTTTTATCATTTCCAGTTGTTTTGGTATTTTTTCTGACTTTTCGCTTAGCCATTGAAACTGCCAACTCTATCTGGAAACTTGAGGTAAAAAATGAAAAGAATTTAACTATCATAAAAGCCAAAGAAAATAGCAAACTAACTTTAACCGGTGCTAGTTTTAATTAATAATCAGTACTGCAAGTACAAAGAAAGAAGAAAAACTTCTTCGAATGTGCGAAAATTAAAATCAAGCCTGGCGGAATATGAGTTTCTATTTTGAAATTTGAAAAAAAAAACCGAGGTTGAAATAATTCAAAACCTGAATTACAAAATGAGTTCACCGCATTTCCACAAACAACAATTTCAATATAATGAATTCTGAAGGAAATAGGAACTTAATTGAACAAACTGTAAAAATGGGGCTGCTTCAGTGAAAGTAAATTATCACACTTGATCCAGCGACGGAGCTAGAGGTAAATTTTAGGGTGAGCCAAAATTATCAGTGTCCCTCTAAGTGATTTCTCAGATTTGATGAAAAGAAAACAGAGAATTTCCATAAACAAAGCACAAACAGATACTCTTTTCCTTCTTAAGTATTCACCTTTTTGGCAACTTAAATACATGCACTAGTCCAGAATTCACTCCTAATTCCAGAAAAGAACCATTATCCGTGCTTATTAGATGCCCACATAATCACAGGAAATGGAAGAGACAACAATAAAAGATGGGAGATTCATGCCAATGGATACTACTACATCATCAGTAAAAGTTGAAAATTATACCACCACCAACAACAGAAATAAAATATTTAACTTCAACATTGGATATTTATGCTGCATTTCCAGGAGCGGAGCCACCTGGGGTCTAGTGAGGGCAACTATGAACTACCCCACTGGATTTTGGTCCTGGGTATTCCACCTATTATGCATGAGGAGCGGCCAGTTTTTTAAGGCAAGGAAAACGCCATAAACAATCGCGTCAAAAATTCAAGACAAAGGTTGTCGAAAAAATCGGTGATGCTAGAGGAAGATTAAAAAACAATTTTGGAAAAATAAATAAATTACACGGAATTGAGTTGAATTAAATCATTCACAACAATCAGATTGAGTGCGATTTCAGCATAAAAAGCCCTTTTTACACTAGCAAAAATCCGATATTACCTTCCAAGTTTGTTTATGAAGAAGTTGAGTAGAATTCACTGCCACACAAGATGAATTGGTGCCAAGGGGAAATCGCCTAGGTAATAGTTGGATATGCGTGGCATTTATTTATTTGGGGTTTGCTATTTTATTTTAGAGGAAATTACATGTAAAAAGACATTTAAGTTTTCCAATTCAAATATGAGGTTTGACGATTATTTAACCAAAAATTAGGTAATAATTCTACTTATAAATAATAATAATAATAATAATAATAATAATAATATAAAATTAAATTAAATTAATTTACCTACACCCCACCACCATCCCCATCCAACCCACAGTCCCAAACCCTAAAAGCATTTCCTTATCTTCTCAACCTTGTCTATTATTTGACACCGTCATCTCTCTCTTTATTCAACTTCACAATATCACCTCACCACCAACACAGTCGCTATCGCCACCATCGTCACGCGACTCTGCTGTTAAACAATTCAAAGAAATAAAAAAAGGAAGAAGAGGCTGGAATTACATTAATTCTGTATAATACAATTGAATACAAAAAGATAATTTAACCTAAAAATAAAGAGATTATATATATGCTAAATAAAGGAAATTGAAAAAACTATTCTACCCTTAATAAATAATAAAATAAAATAACCATATATTTCTTAACATCTCCTCTCAAACTCACGATGCGGCAGTTACAAGCATCGAGAGTTTGCCAAGTAGAAAACGAAAACGGGAAATAGAA